CCCCCCCCGTCCCCCCGCTTTAGTCTCTGTCCTCTGTAAGTTATTGGTTCCTTCAGCCCTCTTATCACATCTTTGACCTTTTCTATATACTAATTTCTGAACATCTCTCTTAAAATATAACTACAAGGGATGAAGACATTACTACAGATATAGCCAGAATAATATATTACACAGGCTTAATGCAGGAAAACACCATTTATAGAAATCTATTAACTATTACTTAATATGATTATTAATATAAGAAGTAACTATTGATATAATTTTTTGTTTTCCAGAGACCAAAGGATTTCCTGTAACACCTCTAAAATTAAAAAAAAATGTTTAGGGTGACGGTGAATCTGATATAATTTGCTTCATGTCAGTTACCTAATGCTGTGTAACACACCACCCCAAAACATGGTAGTTAAATCAACAACTATTTTATTTGCTCACGATTCTGTGCATTGGCAATTTGGATTGGATTCAGTTGGGCAGTTCTGCTAGTCTCACTTGCTGTCACTTACACGACTAACCAGCTGATGGCCTGACTGGGGCTGTATGTTTCAAGTTGGCCTCATTCACACATCTGGCGCTGGTGGCCAGCTGGAGCTGGCTGAACCACTCTCCTCACTTATTCTCTAATACTTGAGGAGTTAGCTCAGGCTCTCTCACATGAGATCTCAGAGCCGTTAAAAGGAGAAGGAAACCTCAAGTCCTTGGGCTAGAAATTCTTAGTGTTAAGGATCAAGTATGGCCCTGTTTGAGCTTTTAGTATAGGAGAAACTGTGAATTGAATAAATCTAAGTGTGATGTGTCTTATGTACAAGGGCTATACTTCTTTTTTAAAAAAATTTAACTTACATGCAATAAAACTCTTGGTATACAGTCCAATGAGTTTTGACAACCACCACCAGAATCAAGATTCAGAAAGTTCCATCACCTCAAAAAAATGCCCTAATGTTCTTTCTTTGTAGTCAACCCCTCTTCTCACCCATAATCCCTGGCAACTACTGATGCTTTCCATTTCTATAGTTTTGCATTTTCCAAAATGTCATATAAATGGAATCACAGTATTGAAAACTTTTGAGGCTGATTCATTCATCATGTCTAGATTCACACAAATATGTGTATTACTAGCTTTTTTTTTTTTCAAAGATTTTATTTATTTGACAGAGAGATAGAGAGCACAAGTAGGCAGAGAGGCAGGCAGAGGGAGTGGGAGAAGCAGACGCTCTATTGAGCCTGACATGGGGCTCGATCCCAGGACCCTGGGATCATGATCTGAGCTGAAGGCAGCCACTTAACCGACTGAGCCACCCAGGCGCCCTCCAATTACTTTCTTATTCATTTAATACGTATTTATAAAATGCTAAGAGATGAATTTCGTGAATAACATAAACAATATAACAGCCAATCAAAATGAAAATTCACCTTCAAACATTTGCTTAGTGAGTCTTAAGACAAAGCTATGCTTACATGTTCAACTCTGTGGCATCTTATCAGAGACAAATAGTTAAGACCAAAACTGCTTACATTTAACTGTTGCAGCAGGATCTCCACCATTATTTTAAATGAAGCTATTGCAGCAACTGTCATAAACATGAGGGACTTTGAGAGCCAGCCCCCCAAAAAGAACCATGGTCTCTGATACCTTTAGAGAAGAAAACTTTCTATGTTTATTACAGTCAGTTAAATACAGAGTCTGTCCAATGCTAGCTCCTAAGTGAAGGCTTTGCAGTCATATGAAATACGCAGTGCACTTTACCGAGATGATGGATGCTGGTTCTTTATATCAGCCAATAACAGGTAAAAGTTGGAGGCTTGGCTACCGTGCAGGGAGGTCATAGGAGGCTAGAAAAGGGGGCCAGTTAAAGATGTGAAAGACATGTTGCCTTGTGAAGCGGAAGAAACTTTTTGGGAAACTGCTTCGGTGTTGTGGAAAAGCATCATTGTGTGGCATGGCACTTCTTACATTGGGATCCAAGTCCCCCAAGGGTATGTGAGTAAGGTTATCAAGCAGAACACTAAAGCCACTGGAAAACCTTGGGGTGCCTCTTCCTGGGACACTAATTATACTTGATGTTTTGGCATAAAAAATCTGTTTTTAGTTTTTTTCTTTGAGGTAAGGATAAAAAGCATTGTTTTCATATTAACATGTACGTAAGTATATTCAGAATACAAAATAAAATTCATGTGAATTTCCGAGAGAAGAAAAGTTGTCTTAAATTTTGTGCTCTGTAAATGTTGGTTTTTACCATGTTCCCTGAACACTCCGTGTATATTCCCACCGTGCTGTTGTTAGAATTTTACCAGAAGTTTGAGAAGCACAGACTGTAGTCGAAAGAGCAGAGACTTTGCTTTTGAATTAAATAAACTGGAGGTTGAGTCTACCACTTTCTAGCTGTGTGATCCTGGGCTAGTTAATTTTTCTGAACTTTTTTTTTTTTTCCCCTACTTGTAGAGTAGGAATAACATTACCTATAATATAGTATTGCTGTGAGGATTTGGGATAGCACAATGCTTGGGACATAATAGGCAATTAATAAGCCGTAGCTTTTTCATTAGTTTCACCTCATTCTATTATTTGTTTCTGGATTGGTATATAAGGAAATAACTGAAGTGATTATTAGTTTAGTTATCCAGAGGAATAACTTTTTGATTGCATACCCTTATTATGTTTTTATTTCAAATGTCATATATATGCAATGTGTAAGAGAGAAACAATAGGAATTAATAAGAACATGTAAATAGGCCATAAGGAGATGTATATCAGAGGTATGAATATCAGGAGGGCATAGGTTGCTCAATCCAAAATACATCTCTAAAAAAGGTCAAAACAAAACGAAGTAGAGCAGTATAGTAATCCTAATGTGTGAATGTCAGTTTGAAATATACACACAAATAAACTGGAATATGGACCTCTACCAATTCTCAGTCATCTAATGAACAGTTCATCTCAACTCCATGTTGTCATATGGCTGGGGGAGCTAATTCCAGGTTAGCTGTGGGAGAGCAGGGCACCTTGCAGGTGCTCTGGGACTTCCCTGGCAGCAAGAACGAGTGAACTCAGCATGAACAGTGAGAGGTTTGTTACTCGAATTAGCTTGTAGTGCAAGGTAGGTATACTTTGCTGTGTGCCAGGTTGAAAGGAACACTTGTCGGAAGGTTGGGCACCGTGTGCAGGTTAAAGCTGTTTGGTTGGTTGGGAGGCAGTTTTAAGATACCAAGATCCTCTATTCACGATTCTATCCATCCACCTGTGTCAGGTAAGTGGCGCCCCTGAGGACCACAGTGGTCTCCTTGTTGCTAACACCAGTTAGTCATTCGGCTGTCTTTCTTGTTTGCCTACTGCTTTCATTGGTTTCAGCTGTCAGTTCCCCTACACGTGTCCCTCCTCCCTGGGCAAGTAATTCGACTGCATGAAGTCCTAGAGAGAGAGAAAAAAAGGAGGATTGAGATAGAACGGACCCCGAGCTCAGCTATGGAAAAGAAGGAACTGATTGAAGATTATGCAGATGTACTGAGTCCTATGCCAGCGTAAGTGCACCCCGAATTCCGGGGTTTGTTACTAGGTTGTTAATATTAATCTCCAGTTATCAGACAGTGAGCCCCTGACCTCATTAAAGCAGGGACAGTAAGCTGTCACATTAGATCTCTGAGTTGATGCCACAGTTCCTCTTCTGTGTCATGATCAACAAAATGCAAAATGCAGGTTTGAACCAACCCTCTTACCACACAGGAAACCCCCTTCCACCCACACCTTCAGACCAAATAGATATTCTTTCCAAAGCTCAAACCTAAATAAAAACTGCTATGTAGAAAGAATGTTTGTTTTTTTTTTCACCATGCAAATCCATGATGGACTGATTTTCTGTCAGAAAATTATACCAAAGAATTTTAAGTATCTGAATTTTCTATTCAGTTGTCCCATCAGTGAGTGGTCATTGAGTTTGTACTTGAGGAAGGCCCTGTGTAAAGTGTGTAAGGTGGTATTGGGGAAATGAAGAGGCACAGACAGGCTGAATTCAGCAACACCTTTATTTTTTGCTCTTCCATTACTGGAAAGTGTGACTAAGATGGTGAAGTCTTTCCTCCTGGAAACGTGGTCTTCTTGTCGGGGAAACCTGTCTGGGTACCACCCGTGACATCAGGTTCTCACGCAGAGTCTAGCTGTACCACAATTGCTGAAACCTGCCTACCATCACTCTTGGCTGAAACCAGGGACATCTGATTGACTGATGGGTTAAAAGTCACAAAGACTGCTTCTTTTTCTTTTTTGCTCAATAAAACAAGTAATACATATTTATTACAGATAGATAAAAAGAATATTAAATCCTTCTTTGTCCAACCAGAGATATTCACTGTTAACATTTCGGGGTATTGCATATCCTGCCAGATTTTTCTCTGTTGATAAAGCAGACTTTCTGGGGCGCCTGGGTGGCTCAGTCGTTAAGCATCTGCCTTCGGCTCAGGTAATGATCCCAGGTTCCTGGGATCGAGCCGCGCACAGGGCTCCCTGCTCAGCGGGAAGCCTGCTTCTCCCTCTCCCACTCCCCCTGCTTGTGTTCCCTCTCTCGCTCTCTGTCAAATAAATAAATAAAAATCTTAAAAAAAAAAAACAGACTTCTCATTGGCGACAATATTTACTATAAAGATGGGAAGTGCTTTCTTAAAACTGTTACACATAAAAATAGCACCAATGCCGTTAGAAAGCTATATTATACCCAAAGGAGTGAATTCAGACACACCCTTAAATACCAGTTATTTAAAACAGACCATACAAGAGAAGCATATAAAGAAACGCTTTGTGTCCCTGAAGAGAAACCACCAACAAATGTTATTTATCCAAGAGCTTATTATAAACTGAGATTATGAACTGGGGATACCCTATTAATTCTTATCTTAGATTTTCAGATGATACTGGTGATTACATGCTGACAGATTAACTTTTCAGGTCTTTTTGGTTAAAGAAAGAGGTTTGGAGGGAATGAGAGAGGGAAGGCCTTAAGCATAAAGTGTATTTAATAGTGGCAGTAATTGTAATTGTAATAACATTACAGTAATTGTATCACTGTAACTGTAATAAGAAAGCTGGGAATTAAGAAAAGTTAATAACTGCAGCTCTTAGAGTTACTTTGGTAGCATTTTTTCAAGTTATGATCTTCATCAGTTAAAAAAAAAATCCTGTTTTTTGTCTCACCTCTGTAGATGTTTTTATACTGTGTCCCGGAAAGAAGCAACTGAGATGCTTGAGAAGAACCCTTCTTTGGGAAATATGATCCTGAGACCTGGTAGTGATAGTAAAAGCTACTCCATCACTATCCGGCAGGAGATAGAGTATGTTTAATTAAAAAAGTATGGTATTGTTAAAAGCATGGTATCACTTTAAAAAGCAAAGTCACACAAGATCAGCACCTGCTACGTCTTCTGTTGGGGCTAAAAATATAAATACAAGAATAGGGAGAGAATGTTTCAGAAGCAGAGCCAAGGCTAATATTTGCAATAGGCAAAAAGAAGAATGGGCAAATTACTTTGATCCTGGGTATAGTTTTCTTATTCATTCATTCGTTTCACATATCTTTATTGAACAAAACAACATCCCTGGTTTAAGGAGTTCACATTCTTGTAAGGCAACATGGACTGTAAATAAATACATAACTAAAAAATCATATATATAGTAGTTAAGGTCTATGGACAAAAGTAAATAGGATGAGGGAGATGGGAACACTCAGAGATGATGTTCAGAGAAACATTTTCTGATTCTGTTGTTTTAATATAGAGTGGTCAGGGAAGGCCTACTTCATTAGCTAACATTTAAGCAGTGCCCTGAAGGAAGTGAGGGGACAAACCAAGCCAATATCTAGGACAAGAGCGTTCCAGGCAGTAAGTGCATATTCCCAGAGGCAGGAGAAGGCTCAGTTTGTTCAAAACAAAAAAGAGCCCTCTGTGATTGCAATACAGTGAGCAAGCAAACAGTGTTAAGTGAGATTCCAGAGGTGGGGGGAGGGACTGATCACTCTGAGCCCTACAGGTCACTAAGGGACAAGGTTATATACTCTGAATGACATGAGAGGCCACTGGACTGTGATGCATGAAGAAGTGACATAATCTGACATCTATATAAAGGAGCCCTTGGAGCCTCTTGTCAAGGTTAAGAATTTCTTTCTGGTAAAATGGCTTACCTTTGATAAAGTCAGTAATACTTACATGCAAAAGTTGATTTTTCCATGTAGCTAAGGTGGTTGGATCTGCTAAGGTCCACTCCAGCTCTGAGTCTATGAAATCTTGCGTTTCAATAAATAAGCACTCCAGGTTAGTTAACACTTTGACAAATGATAATGAAATTAAAATACAGGTTTTGTCCTAAATGAAAATGTTCAATAAGTAATTATCTTTCATATAAAAGCATAAGCAGAACTTTGAGTCTTGAATTTGCTATTCTTTCTGGGGATAATATTCCATTAATTATTTTAGCTGAAACATATCTATCAATGCATCTATTTACCAGTCAGTCCACTATAAATATCAATAATTCTAAATATATTAAATATGAAGACACTGACAGTGAGTAAAGGCAGTAAAAATAAAATAATTACAATGAGCCATGGTCCAACAAGCTTCATCACTTGCCAATTACTCCATATAAACAGAAACTTGTCTTTAGACACCAGCCATGTGCCCTGAATGGATGGCAAGCATGTTAGAGGTAGATCAGGTCCTGGTTCTGTGTGTGAAGGGAGAGAGCTCTGTGTGTGAGTGTGTGTGTGTGATTTTCCACAATGAATACCTATGTCAACTTAACCTTCTTGTTGTTTCATTATTTTCTATTTTAAGGGCTGACATTTGGAGTTAATGCATTTTCAACTAATATGGTAGAATATCACAGATTACTCAATTTTAATTTATCTGATTTATAATTCAATTAGCTCTTTTGAAACAAATCCAAAAGAAATAAAAACTGTGACTGCCGTTACATATAAGTGAGCTTAGAAGAAGCCCTGGGAGAAAAGTGAATTTTTCTGTTGAGTACATCCTGGTCAAGGAGCTTGTCCTTTTTCAGCATTTAGGAAATTGCATTGAGTATGCCTTTAAAAATTAAGAGCACATAAAACTGAATTAAAATCTATTTCTCAGATTTTGTTTTAAAAAGAAATTTAACTGCTGGAAAGCTAAATCACACAAGAGAGTGATTAGCTTTTTTTCCTTCATTTTATTCTTTTCTTGCTTGGATTGAGTGTTTGACCCATTAGCATGTGAACCCTGCATTATTATTCTGAATGAAATGAACAAAGTCCCCGAGACCTAATGGCTCTTTACAGACCACATTATTTTCTGCACAATAGCAACCTGATCTTTTTAAGATGGTCTAAATTAGCCCAGCTTTTGCACTGTATTTTCCGTAAATGTGAGCTATCAGAAATAACAGTGTTTTCTGCTGAAGATGTGGTTTGTGACCGAACACAATGAGCTTCTATACTTAGAATATGAATTGAACATCATAGTTTTTACTTATATCTCTACTGTATTTAAGCTATATTTAAACTCCTAAGAGTCTGGCAAAGGAATTCATATCAAACTTCTATAATTCTAATTTTAGTAAAATCACTTCCAGTTTGAATTCACATAGAAATTCATGCTTTTGTATAGCTGGTGGTCCTAAAAACATAACATTTCATAAAACTAATCCTCCTCCCCCCAAAAGTGCATATTTAGAAAGCAGAGTGAGGGGAATGGTCAAACTAGCACGTTCTAATGCTAGAGCGGCAATATGCTCATTTAGGCTCTGGGGAATAGTTTATGGTTGGAAATGGATAAGAAAAATTTTAACTGTTGTTGCACCAATTTTCTTTATGAGCCAGATATATCTATGATGTTAGGGATTGTTATATGTGTTGTCTAATGCCTCAAAATAGAACTTTTAGAAGGTCTAGATTTCATATCTTCTGTTTAACAGAAAGGGTAGCTGTTGTAGAGAGTAGGAGAATGTTAGCTTGTTAGACTGTAGTGCTTAATGTAAAGACTTTGGCAAAAAATCTAGACGATTAGGAAGCACCTGAACACAGGTGGATAACAACCCACAGCACCAATTCATTCTCTTACAGGTTGTAGGAGAAATGTGCAGCCATGAAAGTTTATGTGGGTCTGGCAAAATACTAGCTGAAAAGGACAGGCTAGTTTACAAAGCAGTGCTTGAAAGTAAAATTATCTCCATCAGTTAACAAATCAGCTATAGGAGGGAAGATAGTAGTTCTTGGGAAGAAGCAAAAGTCATTCAGTGCCCAATTATCAGGTGACCCTCTCTCGATGTAAAATATCCCACTTTACCCAACCCAGTGGTGTGTGAATTCCTAAGACAGAGCTATTCCTACAACAAACTTAGTGGTTTGGCTTTGTTTTCTTAAAGTTGTTACGACTAGGGGTGCCTGGGTGGCTCAGTCGTTAAGCGTCTGCCTTCAGCTCAGGTCATGATCCCAGGACCCTGGGATCGAGCGCCACATCGGGCTCTCTGCTTCAGCAGGAAGCCTGCTTCTCTCTCTCCCAATCCCCCTGCTTGTGTTCCCTCTCCTGTTGTCTCTCTCTCTGTCAAATAAATAAATAAAATCTTCAAATAAAAAAAAGCTGTTATGACTACATGGCAAGCTAGTAGTATATACACTCTGGAAAGCCATTAGTCAAGGAAACAGTAGAAAATATTGACCCCAAATTAATTCCTTTGCAAAACTGTGGGTCAGAAGCTAAAAACAAGTATTTGTATCACATTTAAGGCCACATACTTGTTAAAAGACAGGTTACTTCTTTTTTGAGGTCATAATCAGGAAACCTCAATATAGCAAATTTTATCAACCTCATTTTTTCCTCTATCTTTATTTCTTGGGAAAAACAAAACAAAATATGAAAGGAAAACAAAGGTGTAAAATGAGATTCAAAGCCTAAGCGACTTCAATGGAATTTTTTTTTTCTACCTTACTTTCTGCTTCAGAACTTAGTCCTTTTAGTCAAAAGTTCCAAGAGACTCTGTTAATCTTTGCTGCTTTTCCTCCCACAGCTTTGTCATGAATAATGATGATGATGATATAACAGCTGTTACTAACAACAATCACTGTCACCCCTTCCAGGGTACCATTTGTGAGTGCTGTGTTGGGTGCTTGACAAGCATTTCCTTCAGCCACAGTAAAAACTGAGACTGTTTTTTCCATGTTTTACAAATGAAGCAGCTGAGCCTTGCAGAAACGACTAAGTTAAAATGATATACTTAAAACGTAATAAAAACAGTTATAATTTGCTATGTGTCTAAATGTGTAAGACACTGTACTAAGGACTTTTCAGACATTAATTCACAACAACCCTATGAGGAATGGGATTACCATCTCCATTTTTTTTTTTTAAAGATTTATTTATTTGAGAGAGCGAGAATGAGAGAGAGAGAGAGTACATGAGAGGGGGGAGGGTCAGAGGGAGAAGCAGGCTCCTCGCTGAGCAGGGAGCCTGATGCGGGACTCGATCCCGGGACTCCAGGATCATGACCTGACCGAAGGCAGTCGCTTAACCAACTGAGCCACCCAGGCGCCCCCATCTCCATTTTAAAGATGAAGAAATGAAGGCTGAGAACTTACACGTAGAACCAGAATTGGAACCTCAATCTTTCTGGTTATAAAGATCATGCCCTTCAAGTTTTCTATCAGTCTTCCAAGGAATAATAATCATTTATTTCGTAGGAATACAGGAATTCTAATTGGAATGGGTGAGTTTTCAAAAGTAGCTATATGATTATAAAAGTCTTTTCATGTAGGGATAAAAATAAAGCCAGAGCCAACCACCCCAAAAGAAGGTACTTGTAAGACCTTTGTCCAAAAATGTTTCCTTCACCAGTCTGCTAGTGATTCCTGGAAGATCAGCAATAAAGAATACTTTTTATTTTTTATTTTTTTTTAGGAGGGGAGAGAGTTAGTTAGGTTTTATCCCATGTTTTAAAAGTAAAGTTCTAGAATAAGCCACTGGAATAAAATTATTAGCAGTTTTCCAATGATACTCAATTGAGAGAATATTGGGATAGAGTGGTAGATGAGGAAAAAGTCCCTTGAAAAGAAGTGTAGTTCAGTCCTAAAGGAATGGGATCTGGAAATGGAGAGATGGGTGATAAAAAAGAAGGTGGAAGGCCCTGCCAACAAACTTAACCTGATAGCTTTAGACTGCTTCTGTAAATTGGACAGATGTTGAATTAGTTTCTCTTTCAAGCAAATGGCAGTGTAATAAATGCTTTTAACTTTTCAACATTAGACACTGTTGTCACATGAATCAAAGGAATTCAAGGCAAACCTACCGACTTCTGCTCTCAGTATAAATTAATTGTAGCAAATAGCACTATAAGATGGGCTTGTAATATTTTAAAAATTCAGTTTCATAAATATTGTGTGCCTAATGCTGGAAGACAAAGGTGAATAGATCGTGCTTCTTGTTCTTATGCAATTCTAGTCAATAAAATACCATGTGTTTAGGGTGGTAATAATTTAGAGCGCTATGTGACCATAGAAGAGGAAGACATTACGGTTCATCTACTGTGTTTACATTCTCACTGAGCATTTTCTATTACCTCTAAGTCAGCCGTGAAGTTAGCAGATATCCAAGGTGGGCAATGAACTAGCGGGAAGAAAAGCCGTTCAGGGATTTCTGATAGGAATAGTGATGAGGTAGAGTAGAAAGTATTCTACTTCCCTTTTAATCCAGAGAACAAAAATCTGATTTCTATGTACCTACACAGGATTTTATAATGTTGCCTGCTTTGTAAATTACTGGCATTAAAAAATAATTTCTGCCTGAAAGATTTTCAGTTCTTGATTCATTTTTTCCTGTTATCCAATCACCCACTCAATGACTCAGTTTCCTATATCCCTAATGTATAACCCCTCCAAAAACAGACATAGAGAACCGGGTAAATAAAAGAAAACCACCATTCCCCCCCACCTTTTTTTTTTTTTTTTGCCTAACTACTGGAATGGGAACATAAGTTTTACTGTAGGGGAGATATTTTATATTCACTTTAGTTTGATTTGATCCAATAGTATATTCAAATGAAGATTAACCTTTTTTTTTTTTTTTTCATTTTAGTATGCCAAGAATCAAGCACTACAAAGTGATAAGTGTAGGAAAAAACTACACTATTGAACTGGAAAAACCTGTAAGTAGCTATTTCCTGTTTTTGATGAATTTTCTCCTGCTTTTTCCCAAATCTACCTTACAGAATTGAAAGAAAGGTGGAAAAGTAGACCCCTTGCCTAGGAACATAGTGCTGGTGAAAAACAGCCAGGTGAAGGAGACCCGAAAGTGGCAGATATCCAGGGTGAGAAGCGAGATAAAAGAGCAGGTGGATGAGGAGGCACTTCTAGTAGAAGATAATCTGCTAACAATTCTACTTTTGTTTCTCTGTAATCCTTATTAATACGATTATTTCAGTGAGGGAAGATTTTTTTCCTAATCATCTGTTTTACATCCACCAATGATACATATTTCAGTGTGCTTATTTCTTTTTTTTTTTTTAAAGATTTTATTTATTTATTTGACACAGAGAGAGACCGCGAGAGAGGGAGCACAAGCAGGGGGAGTAGGAGAGGGAGAAGCAGGCTCCCCGCCGAGCAGGGAGCCCGATGCGGGGCTTGATCCCAGGACCCTGGGATCATGACCTGAGCTGAAGGCAGACGCTTAACGACTGAGCCACCCAGGTGCCCCACAATGTGCTTATTTCTAATGAGGAAAAAAAAATATGTGAATGCCTAGTCCTCTAATACCCGTCATGCAGAAGTTCAGAAATCCCCCTCATAATAGCAATATAATCATGAAGAAATGGTTTCTTCCTGGTCTGCAACCCCTCTCCCATCCCAGTCAACTTACCATGGGGCTAGTGATACAATATAATCACTAGGTCACTGTATTAGGCAGAGAGCTAAGTACCTTACATATATCACTTAATCTTCACCATTACCCTGAGGGAATGCCTATTATACAGGGAAAACTGGTATTTACACTCATCTCAACCAATGACAATGTAGTGATGTGAGCTATGGTCCAGGTGCCAGAAAAAGGGAATATAGCTGTGTGATCTTAAGCTGCAGTGGTGGGAAGATTGGACCAGGGAAGTGATATCACATAAATGGAACTGATGAGTCTTAAGATATTTATTTTAACATCTCTAAAATTGAGCTCTTAGTGCCTCTGACTCTCCAAGCCCACTGTGTTGATCAAATAGAGAAAGGGGCAGTATGGTTGAATTTTTATGTTTATATTTTATTTTTTTAAAGATTTTATTGTCAGAGAGAGAGGGACAGAGAGAGCGAGAGCACACAAGCAGGTGGGGAGTGGCAGGCAGAGGGAGAAAGCAGGCTCCCTGCTGAGCAAGGAGACTGATATGGGACTCATCCCAGGACCCTGGGATCATGACCTGAGCTGAAGGCAGACACTCAACCAACTGAGCCACGCAGGAGTCCCTGAAGTTTTTAGGTTTAGACACTACTTCTTAGAATGCAGTAGTGACCTTTGCAAGAGGAGGGAAGCTGCTGACTCATACACCCCACTTTCATCTTTGCCATAAATGCTTCCCAGAGCTTCTCAGCTCTCATGTTCATGCCTGCAGGGGCTTTTTCAAAAATTCTAATGAAGGAAACAAACAACTAGATTGCTGAAGGATAACCTAAATAACCAACTGACTGGAAGCAAAGGTCAGGGAAGAAGAATGTGCCTCTGTGACTAGTAAACTGGGGCTCCTTTATCTGTAATTAGCCCGAATAGTCCCCAATGTAAGGAAAGCTAACAGCCTGGATTGTTCTTTCACCTTTCACACTCCCCTACCCTACCCTTCAACCAGCTTGCCATTTTATGAATTCCAGGGATATTCAGGTTTAACCTGGTTTTACTTGTATAAAAATATGGTTTGGGGGTGGCAACCCATTTCAGCTACTCTTGGCCAAGTAAATTATCCTGTTAAAGGGAGATATTAAAATGCTAAATTCTCTGGCTTTAAGGGTTCTTCGGTTTCAAACAAAAGAAACTAAGTAACTAACTTAAGCAAAGACAGATTTAAGAACATAGGAAGCACATAAAATGACTGGAAAGCTGGAGCACCTCCAGGGACTAGGAACAGTTGACCCTTGAACAACATGGGTTGGAACTGCATGGGTCCACTTACATGTGGATTTTTTTTTTTGATAAATACAGAACAGTGCTGCTAAATGTATTTTTCTTAATAACATTTCCTTTTCTCTGGCTTACTTTATTGTAAGAATATAGTATATAATATGTAGAACATACTAAGTATGTGTTAATCAACTAATTATGTTATCGGTAAGGCTTCCGGTCAACAGTAGGCTATTAGTGTTTCATTTTGGGAGGAGTCAAAAGTTGTAACATGGATTTTTGAGTGCATGGGGGCTGGCATCCCTAAACCCTGTTGTTCAAGGGTCAACTGTAGTAAGAACCATCTGATCAGGAATCTGCTATCCTTCCTTGTTCCTCTACTCAAGTTCAAACTTCAGGAAGGGAGAATTTTCTGGCCTAACCTGAGTCACATTCTCATACAATAACTAGGGAAGAGCAGAGTACCTAATTACTGTCCACCAAAATGTATCCCATGGGGAGGGGGAAATTTCTCAACAGGGAATTAGATATTATAAAAGAGAAAAAAAATGCATGGGTAGGAAACATTGGCCATTCAGTACCTCACTGAAGTGAAGTACTGACATGTTTTACTAGAGATCAGGAAATTCACAGTAATCATTAAATTTCCCCTGAGCTTTCTTTTACTCTCTCTTCACATGGATGACACTGAGCCTTCTCTCACTCTCTTTGTACAGGTAACACTCCCAAACCTTTTCAGTGTCATTGATTATTTCATGAAGGAGACTCGAGGAAATTTACGACCATTTATATATTCAACTGATGAAACCCTTGGTATGTTCTTCACTTCATTGCTGTATTAAGGAAAACAAAACAAAACAACAACCCCTCCCCCCGCCCCCATATATGATTTGTAATACCAACCAGGTAGGAATGTAGTTCAGCTTTTATCTATTTGTAAGTCATTTGGTCACTAACCCTGTGAAAATAAGGGAGGACCAATATATTCTGGTGGATGAGTACTGGTCCATTCTAGAGAAAGAAAAGCCGGAAGGCATGTATTGTGACTACTAATTTCATCATCATTCTACTTGGGCTTTTTTTTTTTTTTTTTTAAGATTTTTTATTTATTTGACAGAGAATGAGAGAGAGAGAAAGCACAAGCACGGGGAGTGGCAGGCAGAGGGAGAGGGAGAAGCAGGCTTCCCTCTGAATAGGGAGCCCGATGTGGGGCTCCATCCCAGGACCTTGGGATCATGACCTGAGCTGAAGGCAGACACTTAACTGATTGAGCCATCCAGGCACCCCTCTACTTGGCTTTGTCAAACAAGTTCAGAGAAGATGAAAACCATACTCGTATAGAGTCATGGAAACCAAACAGGGGTTTTAAAAGTATGATCTGTCAACAGTATCAGATGCTCTAGTCAGATTAAAATGGATGAAGATTAAAGAGAGACTATGGGAATTGGCCATTAGGCAGTAGATGACTTGAGAGAGAGGCTTATTCTATCATAAAGTCAGAAGTCTAAGTGTAAGGTAACAAAATAAGTCCCCATTCCTACAGATTATGAGGTAAAACAACTTTGTTTGGCTACCTGCATCAGGGCATATCTGTAAAGTCTGACTAAGTTTAAAAAGCCAGCAACTTTAAACATCCAAGGTTGAAAACATAGTTATGAATCTTGTGATGCCAAATAAAGAAACTCAGTCTGAAGGAACTTCAGGGAAATTGTCTAGTACAGTATCTCCCTCTATACAGGAATCACCTGCACACTGAGTACAGAAGACATCTCTAAGATGTGACCAATCAGCTTGTTTGAAAATTCCTAATGATGGTCGCCTCACTGGTTTTTGGTTTTTCACTTCTATCAGTGCTCATCTTAGAGAATTCTTCCTTAATAGTGAATCTGAAATATTTCTTCCTTTAACTTCTATATATTAATCCATTTCTGGCTTTGGAACAACTAGAGTTTTAAAAAGCCCATCAAATATATAAAAGCAGCCACAATGCCCCCCCCCGTCCCCCCGCTTTAGTCTCTGTCCTCTGTAAGTTATTGGTTCCTTCAGCCCTCTTATCACATCTTTGACCTTTTCTATATACTAATTTCTGAACATCTCTCTTAAAATATAACTACAAGGGATGAAGACATTACTACAGATATAGCCAGAATAATATATTACACAGGCTTAATGCAGGAAAACACCATTTATAGAAATCTATTAACTATTACTTAATATGATTATTAATATAAGAAGTAACTATTGATATAATTTTTTGTTTTCCAGAGACCAAAGGATTTCCTGTAACACCTCTAAAATTAAAAAAAAATGTTTAGGGTGACGGTGAATCTGATATAATTTGCTTCATGTCAGTTACCTAATGCTGTGTAACAAACCACCCCAAAACATGGTAGTTAAATCAACAACTATTTTATTTGCTCACGATTCTGTGCATTGGCAATTTGGATTGGATTCAGTTGGGCAGTTCTGCTAGTCTCACTTGCTGTCACTTACACGACTAACCAGCTGATGGCCTGACTGGGGCTGTATGTTTCAAGTTGGCCTCATTCACACATCTGGCGCTGGTGGCCAGCTGGAGCTGGCTGAACCACTCTCCTCACTTATTCTCTAATACTTGAGGAGTTAGCTCAGGCTCTCTCACATGAGATCTCAGAGCCGTTAAAAGGAGAAGGAAACCTCAAGTCCTTGGGCTAGAAATTCTTAGTGTTAAGGATCAAGTATGGCCCTGTTTGAGCTTTTAGTATAGGAGAAACTGTGAATTGAATAAATCTAAGTGTGATGTGTCTTATGTACAAGGGCTATACTTCTTTTTTAAAAAAATTTAACTTACATGCAATAAAACTCTTGGTATACAGTCCAATGAGTTTTGACAACCACCACCAGAATCAAGATTCAGAAAGTTCCATCACCTCAAAAAAATGCCCTAATGTTCTTTCTTTGTAGTCAACCCCTCTTCTCACCCATAATCCCTGGCAACTACTGATGCTTTCCATTTCTATAGTTTTGCATTTTCCAAAATGTCATATAAATGGAATCACAGTATTGAAAACTTTTGAGGCTGATTCATTCATCATGTCTAGATTCACACAAATATGTGTATTACTAGCTTTTTTTTTTTTTCAAAGATTTTATTTATTTGACAGAGAGATAGAGAGCACAAGTAGGCAGAGAGGCAGGCAGAGGGAGTGGGAGAAGCAGACGCTCTATTGAGCCTGACATGGGGCTCGATCCCAGGACCCTGGGATCATGATCTGAGCTGAAGGCAGCCACTTAACCGACTGAGCCACCCAGGCGCCCCTAGCTTGTTCTTTTTTTATTGCTGAATAGTATTTCACGGTATGGAAGAACTAGTTTGTTTATCCATCCAACAATTAAACTGTATTAGGGTTGTTTCCAGTTTTTAGCAATTACTTACTGAACTATATTAATATTCATATGCAGATTTTGTGTAAACATGTCTTCATTTCACTTGGGTAAAATATCTAGGAATGAGATATTGGGTTATATGGAAAGAATCCATCTAACTTTATAAGAAACTGCCAAACTCTCTTCACGAGCAGTTCTACCTTTCTGCACATCTGCCATTGATGCTGGGGAGTTGTAGTTGCATCCTCATCAGCACTTGGTATTGTCATTAAATTTTTTTTTCCTTTAATTTTGAGTAAACTCTACACCACACATGGGGCTTGAACTCATGACCCTGAGATCAAGAGTTGCAGGCTCTACCAACTGAGCCAGCCACACCCCATTGGTATTGTCACGTTTTTAAAAAAGTTACTCTAATGGTATCTCTGTGGTTTTAATATGCATTTCCCTCAAGATTAATTATGTTGAACATTTTTTCATGTGCTCTTTGACATTCATATAATTTGGTAAAATATCTGTTTAAACCTTCTGCCCACATTTTTGTTTGTTTTTTGTTTATGATTGAAATTTGATAATTCAGTGCATATTCAGATATTGTCAGATATAATTTGCAAATATTTTTTTCATTCTCTTAATAGTATCTTTTGCAAAGCTTAAGTTTTAAATTTTAATGAAGTAAAAATTATCAATTTTTGCTTCTGTATATAGATTGTACTTTTGGTGTTGTATCTGAGAACTCTTTGCCTAAGCTAAGATCACAAAGATTTTTCTCCCTGGTTTTCTTCTGTAAGTGTCATAGTTTTATGTTTTACATTAGGTCTATGACCTACTTGGAATTAATTTTAAGGGCAGAATTCATTTTATTTGCATTTAGGTATATAATTGTTTGAGCACCGTTAGTTAAAAAAAGATAATCTTTTCTTCATTTAAATAGCCTTTGGGGCGCCTGGGTGGCTCAGTTGGTTAAGTGACTGCCTTCGGCTCAGGTCATGATCCTGGAGTCCCAGGACTGAGTTCCGCATCGGGCTCCCTGCTCAGCAGGGAGTCTGCTTCTCCATCTGACCCTCCCCCCTCTCATGTGCTCTCTCTCTCAAAATAAATAAATAAAATCTTAGAAAAAAAATAATCAATTGACCGTATTTTTGTGGATCGATTTCCATTGATATCTGTTCTTACCCTTTTGCCAATACCATGCTATCTTGATTACTGTAGCTTTATAGTAGTTCTTGAAATCAGAAAATATAAATCCAACTTTGTTCTTCTTGTCAAAATTGTTTGGACCAATCTAGTTTCTCTGCCTTTCAGTGTAAGTTTTAGAATCAGCATGGTACTTATAGAAAAATCCTCCAGAGTTTTGATTTGGATTTTGCTGAAGCTTTAGAGGAGTTCAGGGAGAACTGACATCTTGACAATATTATCTTCCAATTCATCAATAATATATCCTTCCAGTTATTTAGGTTTTTTTTTATTTCTTTTACAGTTCTTTATAATTTTCAGCATACAGATCCTACACATATTTTGTTAGATTAATACCTAACGATTTAACTTTCTGGTGCTATTATAAATGGTAGTTTTTAACATTTTGGATTCCAATTATTTATTGGTAATATATAGAAATACATTTTTTATATATTTATCTTGTAATTCTAAGATTCCATTTGCTAGACTTTTACTCATTTCTTTTTT